AAGAAAGTCAGGGGCCAGTGAGAAAAATAATAGTTTCGCGGCGTACAGTGGCTGCCGGAAATTAAAAATTCACCTCTTCCCTCCTAATTGAGATTAAGGGATGAAAAAACGGCAGTTCGGCGGAGAATTAAATTCTCCATTAATTAACCCTCTTGCATCCCTTAATCTCTGTAACAAAAAAATATAAACTGCCATGAAACTCAGGGGCCAGTAAGAAAAATAATTTTTTGTCGCGGCGCCCCCTGACTTTTCACCATTCGCCCGCGAATTAAAAATTCACCTCTCCCCTCGTAATTGAGATTAAGGGATGAAAAAAGGTCAATTCAACGGAGAATTAAATTCCCCATCAGTTAACCCTCTTTCATCCCTTAATCTCTGTAACAAAAAAATATAAACTGCCATGAAAGTCAGGGGCCAGTAAGAAAAATAATTTTTTTCGGGGCGCACACTGACTTTTCACCATTCCCCCGCGAATTAAAAATTCACCTCTCCCCTCCTAATTGAGATTAAGGGATGAAAAAACGGCAGTTCGACGGAGAATTAAATTCCCCATCAATTAACCCTCTTTCATCCCTTAATCTCTGTAACAAAAAAATATAAACTGCCATGAAAGTCAGGGGCCAGTGAGAAAAATAATAGTTTCGCGGCGTACAGTGACTCCCGGTAATTAAAAATTCACCTCTCCCCTCCTAATTGAGAGTAAGGGATGAAAAAAAGCGAGTTCGATAGAGAATTAAATTCCTCATCAACTGCCTTTTTTTAATCTCAATGAGGAGGGGAGAAGTGAATTTTTAATTTGCGGGCGAAAGGTGAAAAGTCACTGTGCGCCGAGAAGAAAATTATTTTTCTCACTGGCCCATGATTTTTGTCATAGTTTGTATTTTTTTGCTAGAGAGATTAATGGATGCAACGGCGATCGATTGATGGGGAATTTAATTGTCCGTCGAACTGCCCTTTTTTCATCCCTTAATCTCAATTAGGAGGGGATAGGTGAATTTTTAATTCGCGGGCGAATGGTGAAAAGTCAGTGTGCGCTGCGAAAGAATTATTTTTCTTACTGGCCCCTGAGTTTCATGGCAGTTTATATTTTTTTGTTACAGAGATTAAGGGATAAGAGAGGGTT